AACCCAACCCAAGGCATCCTCAGAGCTGGGCCATATGTCCCCTCGCTTCTACTCCTGCTGAGAGGTCCAGGATGCTTCATCCTGGCCTGGGGGCATCCGGGGTGTAAAGGTGTCACCCAGGGGACCCCCACCCCCAGCCCAGGAGGCACATTCAGACAGGCCCTACAGGGGGAAGGCCCAGGAGCCAGCAGGCAGCCTAGCTGGGTGGATGAGCCAGGACAGGCCTTGGGAGCACTTTGCCAGGAGGGGGAATGAGCTGTCTGCAGAGCCAGGAGCCTCAGAGACAGAACTGGAGACCTAAACCAGGTTCCGCAGAGCTTCAGGGCCTGGTGGGCACCTGTGAGGATGGCGTCCCCACCTCCTCCCCACCCAGGTGTCCAGGGCTGCCACCATCACTCTTCAGCCCAACTGCTTTTTCTTCTTCCTGGAGGCTGCAGTGGGAGCTGCCTGCTGGCTTGGACTTCAGGGGAAGCCGAACTGCCATCTCCCAGGAGGGACCCAGGACAGAGGGGAGCAGCCGAGGGTGACCTTGCTGCCAGCCACCCACGGGAAACACTCATCTCTCAGAGAACGATGCTGAGACACAGGTGGGAGCAGTGTGGACGGACCCTGAGAAAAGGCACCTCCAACAAGCCTGAACTGCCCACCCAGGCCTCCTGGAAGAGTCCAAAGAGTGGCAGAGAAAGCCCAGCAGGCTGTGGCAGGGGTGTTTCCCAGGTCCAGGATATGAGATGGGCTCCAAAGTGCCCACTGCCAAAGAGTGTCTTCTGAAAGGCAGGCCGCCAGCCTGATTTCACACAGGCGCGGACATCAAACACTCGCCAGGGACGACCTCAAGGGCAGGAAGGAGCAGGGGCTCAGGGAGAGGATGCTCCCGTGTGAGGCTGGGGCTGGGACATTTCCATCCTCCCCTGGGATCTGCTCCCCTGGGCTCCCCTCCCAGGCTGGTTCCTCCGCATCGCCCTGCCTGCTCACCCCAGAGGGCATGGGGCTCAGTCTGCACACATGGGTCCCCAAGTTGTAACTGTCCCCCTGGCACATCCCATGATGCCCCTCATCTGCATGTGCACATCTCTCAGCTCCTCCAAAACCAGAAGCCCCGCAACCCGACCAGCCCCTCCCTGGCTGGGCAAAGTCCACCTGCCACTGTCCCAGGCCAGCCCCCAGGCACTGTCCCCTGACTGCTCTCACACCCACAGCCCACCCACTGGAAAACAAGCTGCCAGCTCCCCTCCCCCTGGGCTGGGGCAGTCACCTGCTGGTGCCCTTAACCCTTGGTTCATCTGTCCCACAATAGCCACCTGTGTCCTGGCACCCTGTCAACTCATACCCATGGTGGCCATCTCATCCAGTGCCAACACCAAAATCCCGACAGGTCACCCCTGCCCTCCTCCCTGTTTGAGACCCCCAGAGCCCTGTGCCTCAGTCTCCCTGTCCACAGTATGGGTGTCCTGTTCCCAGCCCCACCCTGCCACCCAGAGCCCAGGCCTGCCCCTCCTCCATCCTGAGGAGCCCCTGACCCTCAGTGTGACCCCAGGGAGGTCTTTCCCCAGGCCTTGGTGCCACGACTGCCTACTGAGGGCAGGGCTTGGTAGGTGGGGAGCAGGCCCCACCCCAGCCCTCCCTGAGTGCCTTAATCTGGTCTCACCTGTGTCTTTAGCCTTGTCCCATCTTCCTCAGCTCCTGATGGAGCACCTGCAGTGCAGGAGAGGGTGCAAGTGGGTGGAAAGTGTCCCTTTTCCTCCCTTTGGTTCCCACAGCTTCTGCTCCTGCCAACACCCCGACTCCAACAAGGTGCTAAGCCCAACCAGGTGCCACTTGCCGAAAACAGCTCACTGTGCAGTCCAAGGGGCGCCTGGGCTGGGGGCTAGCTGGGCTTGGGGGCCTTTGCCAATCACAGAGTCTTTCTGACTTTGCCAACTTACTGACCCCGTGCCTCAGTTTCCCCCACTGCAACACAAGGCAAAAATCCCAGTTCTCCATCTTCTGGCCTCCACTTTTACTTGATGAGCTGACCCTGCTTACTGTGTTTTCTTTTGTGAAAATTGTTAAATCTTGGGGACATTTTTCTATGGAAAAGAAAAAGGAGGAATAAATTTGGGCATAATGGAGACTTGTGCAAGTTCAATTACCTTAATTAAATATGAGAATCAAACAGATCCAAGCCGCCTGGTGGAGAGTTTCCACTGGGCCCCACTGAACCCGGAGTGCTCCGAGGAACTGGACAGGAAGCTTAGTAGAGGCTAAAGTACCTCCCCCCCTTGGATGCCAACATGTCACGCTGACTTCTGATTAATCCGTGTTCTGGGAAAGCCTCTCGGAATTTTATTTTATCAACCATTCCTTGTGTAAGAGCACATATTATCATAAATCCTGCCCTCAGGTCAAAGGAACCTTAATTTTACTACACTAGTTGCAAACTATGAAGCACACAGAATTCCTGGAAAGTCAATTTTTAACAGTTCTTCACATTAATATGTATACCTTCTTCCTATAGTATATAACCCCTGTATCTGGGGTGTAACTCCATGGAGATCCACCTGTCTTGTTGCCACTCATGACCATGCTCACCTGTCCATAAATTCCCCAATACATCACCCTCTTTGACACATTGGTCTTGTCTGCCTTTCTTTAGTTTCTTAGCTCCTGCATTTGAGTGGCACTTTGCATGTAAGGACCTTTCAAATAACAACTGGTGAGCTGGCCAGCCCAAGAACACTAACCAAAGTATGGTCAAGTGGAAGACATTGGAGTGGAAAATCTGGGGTGTTACTCCGCATCTATTTGGAGCGGTGTTGTCCATTTGTGAGATGCATGTGGACTACTGAGCACAAGGATGCCCCCAGAATGGAAGACATATTGGGGAACTTGTCACTAGAAAACTTCATCAACCCATAGGATGAGGAAAACCACCATGTGGCATTGATACTGGATTGGCCATTACCATGAACTTTTTAAGTGGCCACAGAAGCCACTTATCAGCTGAGAAGAAGGTAAAGGGGCTAGATGAAGAATCACTGTTATAAAAGAATATGAAAGCCTCTACTTCCATGTTAGCAGTTAGCTTTGTGAGTAAGTCTGAAACTGAGAAGATGCAGTTAGAAACTCCATCCTGCTGTGTTGTGCAGCTTAAAGGGTGGAAGACGACCCATCCTAAAGTGTAAGCATGTGACAGCCCATGTGCTTGTAACAATTTGAATGACAGTAAAGTCATAATTACTCTAACAGAACAGGTGACAAGCAAAATAGACCAGATTTGTATAAGAGGTTTCTGTACCCTGGAGACATGAGATTTGTAAGAAATAAATTTAATGTACCATAGTAAAACTAAGTTTGCTTTGAGACTTTTTAAGATCTAGTTTGCTTGTAAATCATCACCTCTTTTGAAATTATTTGTTTTGACCCACTATCACATTTACTTCTAAAGATCAGTATACACAAATGCATTTCTTCCGCTATAGTTCTCATACACAAAGTTTACTTTTAGCTTGATATATTACTATTGCATTAAATGTAAATTAAAACAAAACATCTCTATATGTTTGGCCCAGAAAAGGGCCTTGTGCAAAGAAAAAATATTGGGTAAAATTTTATGAATAGTGATTTAGAATATAAAGGTATGGCTACAAATTATACTCCCATATAATCTTTATTATAACCACATCAACATCCCCATAGTTACACAAAAGAGAGAAGGACACAAAATAGTAACTATGAGAACAACGTTCTCCAAATTATTGAAAGTTTAGGTCCTCAGGGAAAAGGGATTATTAAAGAAGTTATTCCACTGTGTTACCCAAATGGTACATTATTTTCATCTGTTAACTACAATTTTGAACAAGATAGTTTAACATTGGTGTCAGAATAATATTTCATTCATTGCACATCAGTGTTAAAACATTTAAAAAATTTAGTATTGCTACTGAAAATTAATTAATTATCCCATACCCTAAATAAAGCATTTTAAAATCCACTACATGTTCCTTGGTCAGAAGCATCCAAGAAGCATTATTTTCTATCTAGTATAGTGCATCTTATGCTTTCTTCAGTCTTAAAGATTGAGGCTAATTATTTAGTGCACATTGATTTGACTAATATCAAATCTTTCAGATAGGAGTTATTTTCACTTTCATCTGATATCTGTGAAAACATTTTTATTTCTAACAAAGACCATTCAACATGTCTATATCCTCTATCACATCAAATAACACTCAAGACATCTATTTCATTCTACTAAAAAGATATGCCAGTACTTTAACTGATTGACAGGTTTTCCTACTTAATACAGACAAAAATGCCCTGATCACATATTGTATGCTTACATGCATCATTGTTTCATGATTCAAACACAAAAGCATCTTTCCTTAAATTTTCTTAATGTATTTTCCATTTTCCGTTAAACTTTCATAGAAGAAATATGAATCTAATTCATCTAATAATAAATGGCCTCTCATAGCTCTAATGCACAAATAACAAATCATATATTTTCATAAGAACATTAAGGATGGTATAGCATCAACTAATTTGAAAACTGAATTGTATGAATATTATTAATAGCTTCCCAAAAATTTCAAATACTGTCAATACAAAGTACACATAGAATATAATTACACCTGTCCAAACAGCAATGTTCTTGGTCTTTTAAAAAAATATGACCAGATCAATGATCTAATTGCTTTGACTTCACATTGTTCTCTACAATAAATACTTTGGATTAGAGTAAAATCTTAAAGTGTTCTTTAGTTTTATACTTGTATGAATGCCCTGATGCACTTATACTTAAGTTTTGGCTATTCTGCAAATTTATTGCTCCCATACAATTTCTTTTTCTATGAACTCTGATGATTCCTAAGTTTTATATTTGGGATAAAACTCTTTTCACATGTACTACATCTATAGGGTACTATGAATTCTCTGATGTTGAGTAAAGTGTGAACTACAGTTAAAGGCTTTGCCACTTCACATTTGTAGGGTTTCTGTTCATTATGAATTTTCTAATGTTGAGTAAGTCTTGAATGACAGTTAATAGCTTTCCCACATTCTTCACATGTGTAAGGTTTCTATCCATTATGAATTTTCTGATGTCGATTAAGGGTAGAACGACAGTTAAATGCTTTGCCACATTCTTCACAATTATAGGGTTTTTCTCCAGTATGAATTTTCAGATGCCGAGCAAGGCTTGAATGACAGCTAAAAGCTTTGCCACATTCTTCACATTTATAGGGTTTCTCTCCAGTATGAATTCTCTGGTGCTCAATAAGGCTTGAACGACACCTGAAAGCTTTGCCACATTCTTCACATTTGTAGGGTTTCTCTCCAGTATGAATCCTCTGGTGTTGGGTAAGTTGTGAAATACGGTAAAAGCCTTTCCCACATTCTTCACATCTGTAGCGTTTCTCTCCAGTATGAATGCTCTGGTGTTCAGTAAGGTTTGAATTTCTGTTGAAAGCTTTGCCACATGCTTCACATTTGTAGGGTTTCTCTCCAGTATGAATTCTCTGATGTTGTCTCAGGCTTGAAAATTGAGCAAAGAACATGCCACATTCTTTACATTTGTAGGGTTTCTCTCCAGTATGAATTCTTTGGTGTTTTATAAGGTTTCCTGACTGGGAAAAAGATATGCCACATTCTTCACATTTGTAGGGTTTTTCTCCAGTATGAATTCTTTGATGCCGAATAAGGTGTGAACTACAGTTAAAGGCTTTGCCACATTCATTACATTTGTGGGGCTTTTCTTTAGTATGAATTATCTTATGTTGTCTAAGGATTGAAAACTGAGTAAAGGCTTTTCCACATTCTTTACATTTGTAGGATTTCTTCTTAGTATAAATTTTCTGGTGTTTAAGCTGTGACCTTTGGTTAAAGCTTTTGCCACATTCTTTACTGGAGAGGTTTTCTTCAGGATGGATTATGTTCTGTTTTCTTAAATTGGATGACTGACTAGAGACTATCTCACATTTCTTATATCTGCACGAGTCTTCTTTGGTATGAATTCCCTGATGTTCAGAATGTTTTCCTAACTGGGCAAAAGCTTCTACACATTCATTACATTTGTAGGAATATCCTTGAATATGGGTATCTTCACGGCTAATGCCCTTTAAACAATGATGAAAAACTTTCCCACATGTTTTACATTTGCACTGGATCTCTGGATACTGACCGTTCTGATATTTTCTAGAACATGAGACTTGGCTCAAGTTTTTTTCAGGTTTACTACATTGACAATTTCTCTCACCAATATAATTATTCTGGTAGTTATTTAGGGTAAGGTTCTGGATAAAGGACATCAAAGTTTTTTTTAACATATAATGTTTGTCCCAATTATTTATTTCCTGGTATTGATTAAGCAATGATGATTGGGTTAACACCTTACTATACTGATCATGGTTGTTAATTTTGGCATTTGATGATATCATTGGTTGGTGGAAGAATAATAAAGTTTTAATGAAGGACTCATCAAATTGATCACATTTGGAAATATCCTCTTCAATTTTCAATCTCAGATCTTCAGAAATATTTGACTGAACACTTAATCCAATCCTATATCGAATGTCCTGGGTTTCTCTAGGGCTTTGAAAAGCATGCTTATTGCTTCCTTTAATATGTAGTGCTGAAAAGAAATGTAAATATAGCTTAAATGGCATGCTGAGTTGAGTGGAAACAAAGATGAATAACTGTTAAAGCAACAGAAAGACTGCAGAGCACATGGAATTTATCATGGAAGGGAAACATTAAGAGCCTTTAACAAGATACAGGCAGCTTTTTTAGTGGGAAAATATACAGAGTACTCCAGAGAAGACACATGCTCCCAACAGTCTGGAGAAGTGCCTAGAATGTCTGGAGTGGCTGGATGGTGCTAAAACTTCTCCTGAACAAAGCCATTGTCTAAAGGATGAAACAGAGCAAAACCTCTTTGAAAATGAAAAAAAGTCAAAGAAACCAAGAAATATAATCCAATGAAAAGACAGAAATATTTAAGTGACCCTACAGAAGTAAACATCTATGAAATAATTTTTAAAGTATTTAAAATATCTGTCTTAGAGATGTTCTATCACCTCAATAACACAGAAAACCACATAAAAGGAGTAAAACAATGCTTAAAGAAAACGAAATCATTTACAAATAGATTAAAACTAAACAAACACCCACAAACATAAACTATGGAGATGAAAATAAAATAACTGATTTTAAAGATTCACTAGATACGGTCAACAGCAAACTTGATGCAGTAGGAAAAAAACAAACCCAGCAGAATTGGTAATAGGCAATTTGAAATTATTGTCAAGAAAGCAAAAAGAAAAACATTGAAGAGAATTGAAGAGAGCCTAAGGGACTCATTACCATCAAGCATGCCAAAATATTTATAAGGGGAGTTCTATACTGACAGGAGAGACAAAAATGAGCATACAGCTTATGTGATGAAATAACGTCTGAGAATATTCTAAAGTTGAGGGAGAAAGAAGCATAAAATTTAAAGAGGCCTAAACTACTCTAACTAGGAATAACAAAAGGAGACCCAAAACCAGACACGTTTTAATCAAAGATTAAAGAGTTACAGGCCGGGCGCGGTGGCTCACGCCCGTAATCCTAGCTCTTGGGAGGCCGAGGCGGGCGGATTGCTCAAGGTCAGGAGTTCAAAACCAGCCTGAGCAAGAGCGAGACCCCGTCTCTACTATAAATAGAAAGAAATTAATTGGCCAACTGATATATATATAAAAAATTAGCCGGGCATGGTGGCGCATGCCTGTAGTCCCAGCTACCCGGGAGGCTGAGGCAGAAGGATCACTCAAGCCCAGGAGTTTGAGGTTGCTGTGAGCCAGGCTGACGCCACGGCACTCACTCTAGCCTGGGCAACAAAGTGAGACTCTGTCTCAAAAAAAAAAAAGAAAGGGTTAGAAAGAGAATAGAATAAATCAAAGTACTTTTGGCTAGATTAAGAAAAAGATAACAAGAAAGGACTAAGAAAATTAAAAGACTCATATCGCAGAAATACAAAGTATAATATGACAATACTGTGAACAAAATCATACAACATATTGAATAAATTAGAATAAATAAGTTCCTCAAAACAACCCACCAAGATTAAATCATGAAGAAGTAGAAATGCTAAACAGACCAATACTGAAGAAAGACATTGAAGCAGTAATTTTAAAAAAACAAAAATTCCAACAAAGTGTACCCCACGACTGAATGACTTATTCAGAGGTGAATTCTAGCAAGTATTTAAAGATGAATTAATGTCATTTCTATCCCAACTCCTTCAAAAAATTGAAGGGGGAGAAATCTCCAAACTCATGCTATGAGGCCATCATTACCCTCATACAGAAGCCAAATAAGGACACTACAAGGAAGAAAACCACAAACCATTGTATCTGATGAAGATACAAGCAAATTCTCGACAAAATACTAGAAACCAAATTGATCAATACATTAAAAAGATCATATACTATGAGCAAGTAGGATTTATACTTGGGATACAAGGATGTTTCAACATATACAAATAAATAAAAATGATTCACTATAAAAACAGAAAAGATGCAAATTATATGATCTTAGATTTATTAAAGGTATTTGACAAAATTCAATATATTTTCAAAATAAAAACTTGAAACAATATACATACAAAGGTATGTACCTCACCATAATAAAGGTTATATTCAACAAGCCCTCAGATACCTTTTTTTTTTTTTTTTGAGACAGACTCTCGCTGTTGCCCAAGCTAGAGTGCCATGGTGTCAGCCTAACTCACGGCAACCTCAAACTCCTGGGCTGAAGCAATCCTGCCTCAACCTCCCAAATAGCTGGGATTACAGGCATGTGCCACCATGCCTGGCTAATAATTTTTTTATATATTTTTAGTTGTCTGGCTAATTTCTTTCTATTTTTAGTAGAGACAGGGTCTCGCTCTTGCTCAGGCTGGTCTCAAACTCCTGCTCTCGAGCAATCCTCCCAACTCGGCCTCCCAGAGTGCTAGGATTACAGGTATGAGCCACTGCATCCTGCCTGGTACTATTATTCTTAACAGTGAAGTGCTAATTTTTTTTCTCTAGGATCAGAAACAAGAGAAAGATACCCAATCTCACCACCTTTGTTCAACATAGTGCTAGGAAGATCAAGCCAAAGCAATTACGTAATAAAAAGAAACAAAAGATATTCAAATCAGAAATAAAGAAGTAAATTTCTCTCTGCTTGTAGATGAAGTGATCACATATACAGAAAACTGTAAATATTATATCAAAAAGTTAGAGCTAATAAACCCATTCACTAAAGTTGTAGGTCACAAAATCAACATTCAAAACTCAATTTCATTTCACCAACAATAAACTATCTGAAAAAAGTTAAGGAAGCAATCCCACTTACAATAGAATTAAATAGTATAAATTTCTAAAGACTCAACAAATGAGGTGAAAGATTTGTTTGGTTAAATCTGGCATTAATGAATACAACGGAAGATGCAAATAAATGAAAAGATATCCCCCATTTGTGGATTGGATTAATATAAAATGTTCATATTAATACTATCCAAAGGGATCTACAATCCCTATTAAAATTCCAATAGCATTTTTCACAGAAATAGTAAAGAATTCAAAAATTCCTATGAAACCACTAGTGACCCCACACAGCCAACAATATCTTGAGAGACAAATTTGGAGTCTTCACACTTCTTGATTTCAAACTATTACAAAGCTATACTAACCAAAGGTGTGGTACTGGCATAAAAACAGACAAACACAACAATGGAAAAGAATGGAGAAAGCAGAAATAAGGCCACAAGTATACACTCAACCAGTTTCTGACAAGGGCACAAAGATACCAAAAGGAGAAGATGCAGTGTCTTCAATAACTGATAATAAAAAGTGCCGTCCTCATGCACAAGAATGAAATTGGACATTCACACCATCAACAAAAATTAAACTAAAACTGCATTAACATTAAATGTAATACCAGAAACTATACAACTTCTGGAAGAAAGCATAGGGAACAATCTTTTTTTTTTCCAGACAGTGTCTCACCCTGTTGCCCAGGATAAAGCGCAGTGGTGTGATCATAGCTCACTACAACCTCACAGTCTTTGGCTCAAACTATCCTGCTGCCTCCACCCAAGTCACTGAGACTACAGGTGCGTGGCATCAGGCCCCGCTAATTTTTCTCTTTTTTTGTGTATAGATGGGGTCTCTCAGGCTCTTCTTGGACTTCTGACCTCACGTGATCCTCCCACTTTGGCATCCCACAATACCAGTATTATAGGCATAAGCCACCACGCCTGGCTGGAACCATCTCTTTGACATTAGCTTTAGTAATTTTTTATATCACACCAAAAACCATAAGCAGCAAAAGCAAAACCCCAAAACAAGTAAAACTACATCAAACTAAAAAGTTTCTGCACAGCAAAGGAAACAAATAAAAACATAAAATAAGAACCCAAGGATTAGGAGAAAATATATCTGATGAATGTAATAGTTATAACATAAAAGAATCTCAAGTCAATAGCAAATAAAAAGTGAATACGACTTAAAATGTGCAAAGGACCTGCGTAGATATTTCTCCAAAGACATAAAAGTGGCAAATAGGTTCATGAAAAGATGTTTAACATAATTATTTGCCAAGGAAATGCAAGTCAAACAATCTCATTATCTTGAGATATTACCTCACACCTATTATAAGGACTATTATAAGTCAAGAGATAAATGTTGGCAAAGGTGAGGAGAAAAGGAAACTCTTGTACAATGACAGAGGCAATGCAAACGGACCCAGCCATTATGGTAACTGTATGGAGGCTCTTCACATACTACAAACAGAAGTACCATACAATCCTTCAATCCCACTTCTGGGTATATACAGAAAGGATATGAAGTCAGCAATACAAAGAGATATCTACTCTCTTATAATTATAGCAGACTATTCACAATGTACAGTATAGTTCAGCCATATCAAAAAAGGTAATATAGAAGCATATTTCTCAAATTTCATTGTGTATAACGAGGAACTGGAGATCTAGTTATAATGCATGTTCTGGCTCAGGAGATCTGGGTGCAACCTGAGATTGTTTTCATTTGTGAACACATAGATGGATGAACCAGGTGGAAATTATGGTAATTAAAATAAAACAGAGAAATATAATTACTGCATCATATGAGCTATTTGTGGAACTTAAAAAGGAGAGATCATAGTAGAAGTAGGAATTAGAATGGTGGGTGCCAAAAGTAGGGGAGTGGTAAAAATAGGGAGATATTGGTCAAAGAGTACAAACTTTCATTTACAAGATGAATAAATTCTAGGGATATAATATACAGAATTGTGAATATAATTAACAGTATTATATCATACACTTGAGATTAAGTATTCTCTTAAACAGATTAAAAGAGCACACTTTAAGTGTTCTCACCCCCCTCCAAAATTTGGTAACTATGTGAGATGATTAATGTGTTAACTTCATTGTGTTAATCATTACACAATGTATACATATATAAATCATCAAGATGTACATCTCGAAAATGTAAAATTTATGTTTGTAAAAAAAAAATCGACATGTCAAGAAGAACAAACACAGGAACAAACGAACTTAAGGGACATATTCTCAGTAAGCTGCATCTTTAACCAAACAAATATATAAAATTATAATTATTATATTAAAGATAATAAGATAACACTCAAAATATTATTATATTCTGCCCAATGTTCTAAGCTTCCCAGCAACTGTGTTTTTTTTTTTTTTTTTTTTTTTTTGAGACAGAGTCTCACTTTGTTGCCCAGGCTAGAGTGAGTGCCGTGGCGTCAGCTCACAGCAACCTCAATCTCCGGGGCTCAGCCTCCCGAGTAGCTGGGACTACAGGCATGCGCCACCATGCCCAGCTAATTTTTTGTATATATATTTTTAGTTGGTCAATTAATTTATTTCTATTTTTGGTAGAGACGGGGTCTCCCTCAGGCTGGTTTCGAACTCCTGACCTTGAGCAATCCGCCCGCCTTGGCCTCCCAGAGAGCTAGGATTACAGGCGTGAGCCACCACGCCCGGCCCCCAGCAACTGTTTTTACTTAAGAACTCTATATGAAAAGTAGTACATTAAACTATTTTACATGTGTGGATATTGTGTATATGCAGTTTAAATTTCTAATCTTAGTTCAGGTTAGGAAAAAGGAACTGTTAAAGTAAAATATATGATTAGATATTAAAATAAACATTTATCAGGTTCTTCAATCTGCTATGAATGGGGAAAGAAAATAAATATTTAAAAATTACATATCTAATAAAGGTTTAATATTTAATATGTAATTTGATATTTAAATAAAGGGAGATACTTTGGAAGGCTGCTATGCTCACCAGTATACCACCAATGCAAAGGGAGATCCTTTGTACTCTGATGAATTTACAGAGTTTCAATTTCTGCAGAAACACCTCTGAAACCTCTATAGGATTGGAAACTAAAAAAAACAGAAAATATTTCACAACTGTCGACAGTATTCCTGGGACTTCTGAACCAAATATCACTATGTCCACTACTATGGTCACACACTTCTGACGTGAGGCAAAAACAGAACTTAAAAAATGGTTTTGCATACAGGTAGTCCAAAATATGCACAGATTTTTCCAGTACTCCCAAGGCAATGGATAAGTAGATTATGTAGGTCCTCACGGACCACAGAGAGGATTTTGGCTCTCCCAGTGAATTTGATAGAAGATCACTGAAGGGCAAAGGGAATACTCAGAAAATATTTTTCACAATCTTAATGAGAATCAATCCTCAGATAATTAAAGAATATGAGAAAGAAGATGTCCTTCTGTGAAAGCAAGAGAAATAAACCTAGGCTTCTCAAGAAGTAGTTTCATCTGGTGAACACACTTGGAACAACAACAAAAAAAGAAAAACAAAGTAGTTTCATTGTACCAGAGCTTCTGAATCTACACATTAAGGTCTAGCTTCCTCCTTGACCTTTGGACCTCTCACCTGTGTCATCTGCTTCATGCACTCCCACCTACCTGGGTGTTGGGCTACTGTGTCCTCTCTCTTCACATTCCAGGACTCTTTCATTTGTTTCAAAAAGGTGACCAGGTCCAGCTTAGAGACAGCAAGTTCTATTTTATTAGAAAAAGGCACATGAATTTTGCTTGGTGTTCTTCAATTTTCAACTTAGTGTTGTACTCAGCAGAGAAGGGAGATTATTATAGAAGTCTGCAGAAAATTATTTTACAAAATACTATTCCCTGACAGCCACTGTAGAATATTTAAGAAGCCCTTTAAATTTGTGGATCCTGTCATTCACTTTCAAGTATGACTGAATCCAAAATAAAAAGGAAAAATTGGATTTTAAGATCTAGACATTTACATCACTGAATTCCTACAATCACCACTAGAGTAAACCTTGCAAATCATCTCAAGAAGGAAGGTAATTAATGGGGTCAAAGATAAAAGATTTCTTTTATATTAACAAATCCTTAATTTTCTCCCAAAAGCAGGAATCTGAAGCTCATTCATACAAAGCACAAACTCCCAACAGACATTCTGCAAAGGAAAGAAATGAAACCCTTGAGGCATATTACATATTCTGGAGTTAAGTAATTCTCACCCACAGAGACCAGGTTTCTGTAGGTCTCCAACATCACATCCCTATACAAATTCTGCTGAGCAGTGTCCAGGTATTCCCACTCCTCTGGAGAGAAGTCTATGGCCACATCCCTGAATGTCAACAGTTCCTGCAATATAAATAAATAAATAGATAGATAAATAACACACTGACCATGTAGCCATGGGCAGAGTTCTTAGGGTGAAGGTATTATCATTCCTCCAGAGAGAATTCTATGCCCACATAATGAAATATCAACAGTCCCTGATATAAATTAGATAAACAACCAACCACGTGCCATGGGTAGGATTCTTAATTTGACGCAAGATAAAATGAGGGAGTTAAGACTACTGGGGCCAGGTGTGGTTGCTCACACTTGTAATCCTAGCACTCTGGGAGGCCAAGGCAGGAGGGTCACTTGAGGTGAGGAGTTCGAGACAAGCCTGAGCAAGAGCGAGACCCCATCTCTACTAAAAATAGAAAAATTTAACTGGGGATTGGTGGCATGAACTTGTAGTCCCAGGTACTTGGGAGGCTGAGGCAAGAGGATCACTTCAGCCAAGGGGTTTGAGGTTGCTCTGAGCTGGGCTGACACAATGGCACTATAGACCAGACAACAGAGCAAGACTCTGCCTCACAATAAATAAAATAAAATTAAATTAAATTATTTTTTTTTTTTGCTTGAAGTTACCTTCAGTATAAATTAAATTAAATAAAAAATAAATAAATAAAAAATAAAATAGAATAAATAAAATTAAAAAATTAAAAAATAATAAATAAAAATAATTAAAAAATAAAATAAGAAAAGACAGTGGTTCTGACATATGAGTGACCTGAATTACAAAAGAAGATACATTTAAACACATTAATATTTTTAAGGCATTCTCTACCTCTGTGGGAAGAGAATGACGTAAGTTCCACAAAATTAGTGTTGACACTATGCTTATATAGAATATGAAATATAAACTAAAAGCATCAACAAAAAATATACATTTTTTAGTGCTATATTTACATCATACAGAATCAGCTGTGTCTATTCCTCAGAGGAAAAAGCCATGGTGACTTAGAAGCATATTTCTCAATTTTTATTGGGAACAGCAATGAACTGGAGATCGTGTTGTAAGGCAGATTCTGGTTCAGGAGATCTTGCTGAGGCCCGGATTCTGCATTTCTAACAAACTCACCAGTGACACCAATGCCTCAGGTCTAAAAGCCACACCTTTGAACAGCACAAAGGTAGAACTCTGAGGAAGAATTTATGGAAGACATGGAATTGAGAGTTTTATAAAATATACAGATTATAACATAATAGCAATCACAGCACCAATCCTGTATATTTTTTTTCTGGAGACAGAGTCTCACAATGTGTACAGTGTGGCAGCATTATCACAGCCCACCCCACCCTAAAATTCCTGGGCTCACGCAAACCTCCAGCCTCAGCCTTCTGAGTAGCTAGGACTACAGGTGCCTATTCCATCATGCCCAGCTAAATTCTTCTATTTTTGGTACAGGCTCTTTTTTTCGTTGTTGTTTGTTTTGTAGAGACGTGATCTCACTCTTGCTCTGGCTGCTCTCAAACTCCTGATCTCAAGTGATCCTCGACCCTCGGCCTCCCAGAGTGCTAGGATTACAGGCATGATCCACTGTGCTCAGCCGCAGCAATCCTTTTTGAACATCTATGCTTAAAAGCACAAAAATAATCTATGACAAAAATAATAGTGTCCATCTTTTGAGAATATTTTGCCAATTATCCAGTAAACGGTAGCGTGTGGGTTTTACCCCAGTTTATCTGACATAAAATTTATTTCAAAGGGACATACATGCCAATTTACAGAGAAAACTCCAACCAAATAACAGACCCTATTTCCTAAGAGTAATGTAAACAAGAAGGCAGCAAAACAAAACTAATCAAATAATGCTTACATTTTATGCATACAAATACATAGAAATGTTAACTATTTACACATTAAAAGTCATAGAGTAGAATATTTGGTGTAAACAAATATAATTGTAAAAAATTAAGAATCTGTCAGTGATTTTTTTTTTTTTATACAGAGTCTCGCTTTGTTGCCCAGGCTAGAGTGAGTGCCGTGGCGTCAGCCTAGCTCACAGCAACCTCAATCTCCTGGACTCAAGCAATCCTTCTGCCTCAGCCTCCCAAGCAGCTGGGACTACAGGCATATGCCACCATGCCCGGCTAATTTTTTTTTCTATGTATATTGGCCAATTAATTTGTTTCTATTTTTAGTAGAGACGGGTCTCGCTCTTGCTCAGGCTGGTTTTGAACTCTTGACTCGAGCAATCCGCCAGCCTCGGCCTCCCAGAGTGCTAGGATTACAGGCGTGAGCCACCGCGCCCAGCCTGTCAGTGATTTTTAAACATACTACAGAGACCACTGCACATAAAGATATTAACTAAAATAAAAGCTATCATTCCTGAGCCTTTTATTTTTTTCTGCTTTTGTAGGCAGGAGCATTACTTGGAGTATCCCTTAAGGTCAGGAGTCCGAGGCCTGCCTAAGCAAGAGGGAGACCCTGTCTCTACTAAAAACAGAAAAATTAGCCAGTTGTGGTGGTACCCAACTGTAGTCCCAGGTACTTGGGAGGCTGGAGGATCACTTGAGCCCAGGGATTTGAGGTTGCTCTGAGCTAGGCTGATGCCATAGCACTCTAGCCCAGGCAACAGAGAGAGACGAATGAATGAATGAATGAATGAATGAATGAATGAATGAATGAATGAATGAATGGAATGAAGAATGAACGAACGAAGGAACGAACGAATGAACTTGAAACTGAGTCAGAGTCCAAGGTGCCCAAAACTCAACCAGCCTTGCACATGTGCATTTAATAGGCCTTAGAAGGCCGGGCGCGGTGGCTCACGCCTGTAATCCTAGCTCTTGGGAGGCCGAGGCGGGCGGATTGCTCAAGGTCAGGAGTTCAAAACCAGCCTGAGCAAGAGCGAGACCCCGTCTCTACTATAAATAGAAAGAAACTAATTGGCCAACTAATATATATAGAAAAAAAAAAATTAGCCGGGCATGGTGGCGCATGCCTGTAGTCCCAGCTACTCGGGAGGCTGAGACAGAAGGATCGCTTGAGCCCAGGAGTCTGAGGTTGCTGTGAGCTAGGCTGACGCCACGGCACTCACTCTAGCCTAGGCAACAAAGTGAGA